TTCTAAAAAATAGGGCCAAAAATCTTAGTTCCGCAGTTTTGTCAAAATTTTCTCATGTTTTCAGCCTCTAATCTCTCATAAGAGATGTGATTTATAGTTATTGATGCTTGATTGAAGTTCTTGAAGTCCCTTAAACTGATTAGTGCCGACAAATTGAAGTTTTCTCACGGTCGGCTCTTAGTTTCTGGCACTGTGTTGTCTGGGCTGTTTGTGCTGGGATGTTTCTGACCTGCTTCTAGTTTCTGGGATGCTTTTTTCTTGGTTGATTTGGTTGCTGATTTGCTCCTTTGCTGATTCTTCTCCTTCTGGTTTGCTGCCTCTCACCGTCTCCATTGCCTCTTGTGGTTTGCTGCTAAATGGTATGGTGAACATGGAATTTGTTGGCTAGTGGTCCACCAAAAGTTGTGTTGCCTTTGCTAAGGGATGGGTTGTTTGTTGTGGGCTTGTTTATGCTGGGCTTTGATTTGGGTTACTTTGCTTTAAAACCTATTTGGCTGTTTGCGCTGGGCTGTGTTGCCTTGTTTGAGACATTGCTGGGCTGCTGTTGTTCTTGCTTTGCTGGGTTTCTCTGTTTGCTATTTGCTAGTGCTCTTGAATCATGACATTGTTGAGTTGTTCTTCACCTATTTTGGAGTGGGTTGACTCGCTAGTGGACTGAATTCTTCTACTGGGCCTTGCTTTGTGTTGGGTTGCTCTTGCTCAGGCTTATTTACTTTGGGTTGTTGGAATGTCATTCTTGTTGTTTGATAATTTTTTGGATCTGGTCTTGGATTTTGCTGGTTGCTCGTCCATGTATCTGGATTTGGGCTTTGTAATTTGGATTTGGGACATGGTTCAAAGTCGTGGTATAGGCCATGGATTTGGGACATGGTCCAAATTTTGGGTTAGTTGAATTTAGATTTTGTTCAAGTGATTTGGTTGTTACTATTTGACTTCCTTCCGTTGTAATTATGGCAAGTCAAAACCTTGACTCCCTCCATATGATTAGTGATCAGTTGCAAAAGCTTTATCTCATGTCAGAAGCCTAATGCTCTCTCAATCTCTCCCTCTATAGGTTGATTCACTCTGAGTCCTTCAAATCTATCTATCTTGAACTGTCCTGGTCTTTGACTTACGTTCTACACATCACATGACAAGTGATTTTTCTTTATTTGCTCCAACCTTATCTCCTCCATCTGTATCTGTGCTGACAGCCAATGGTATTCAAATGTCCTTGGTTGGTATTGGATCTATTATTTCTCTTCAACTAACACTTCATGATGTTTATTATATTCCACAGCTTACCTTTAATTTAATTTCAATTAATCAGTTATTTGATGTTAGATTTTCGGTTCACTTTACTTCCGCTAGTTGTGTTGTGCATGATCCACGTTCCAAGAAGCTGATTGAATAGACTGTAGAAAAAGAGGTTGTATGTGTTGCACGAGTTTCATATTCTAAATATTGTTGTTTTTACTATTGATTTGCCTTCTTTTCGTTTGAGTTCACAGCCCATTTTGACATTGTCGTCTTGATCATGTTCTCATTCTTGTTTAAAGTTTTTAGCTTCTATTGGTAGTTTGGCTAGCTTAGAGTGTCATGACATTTCTAATTGCAGTGGATGCACGTTAGCTAAGTTTACTACAGTACTTTGTCATAAAAGTCTTACTAGTCCTTTTTCACCATTTGATCTTATTAATTTTGATGTATGGGGACCTGCTCCTTTCCCCACAAAAGGAGGGTCTATATATTATGTCTATTTCATTGATGACTAAACCCGATATTGTTGGGTATATCGTATACGTAATGAAACATCGCTTAAAATTCTTTTTCATATTCATTGTTTTTCGTGCCATAATTCGTACTCAATATTCGTTTGTTATTAAATGTTTTTGATGTGATTAAGGAGAATACTCATCTAATTCTTGTTAAAATTTGATGACACTATTTGTCAGTAGAAGAATACTTATCGAATTCTTGTTAAAATTTGATGACACTATTTATCAATCTTCTTGTACTGATACACCTGAACTGAACGATATTGAGGAGTGCAAATATCGGCACATTATGGAGACAATGCGTTCTCTCTTGTTGTTTGCCAATGTTCCAAGTTCTTTTTAGGGGGAAGTAGTTCTTATTGCAATTTGTCTGATTAATTACATTCCCACAATCTTCACTTTAGAGTTTCCCCCTTTGGGAAATTGTGGTAAGCCACCTAATTATTTCTCTTTATGTTTATTTGGATGTGTCTGTTTTGTTTTGCTCTCCATACTAAACTTTCTACTTGACTAGCTTTTCATGTTTTTCTTGGTTGTGGTAAGGGTAAAAAAAGGTATTGTTGCTATGATCTTATAACACACAAACTCCTATCTCACATCATGTTGTTTTCATGGAGCATATTCCCTTCTTTTCTATTCTATCTAGTTCTTTACATTTGAAAAAATCTGATCTCATTTGCATTGACCTATTTCTAGCTAATGTTCCCTCTTAAACTTAAGTGGGTGATATAACTGTGTCCGATGTGCCTTTCTCTTCTAATTTGCATGTTAATCGTCCTCCTATTATACATATTTATGCTCGTAGAACTACAACTGTCTCTTCTAAAGATGCAGTGACTCCCTCCCAGTCTATTGTCACTCAATTGGGTTCCAACAATGTGGATCATATTCTTCACTATGCTCAGCGACCTCGTAACTGTGCAGCTCGATTTGGTTTTTCTAATTCTTGTTATTCTTATGATTTTTATTCTTTCTTATTCACTCTCTCTCTCTAAACCCACCTCCTATAAGGAGGCTGTTTTTTATCCCCTTTGGAAACAGGTTATGGACAAGGAATTTGCTACATTACAAAAAACTAGAACCTGCGAATTAATGTCATTACCTTCTGACATATGCACAATTGATTGTAATTGGGTGTATAAAATTAAGACCAAAGTTGATGGTCTGTGTATAAGGCCCCGTTAGTGGCCAAGGGATTTGCTTAAGAATATAGCATCGACTATGAAGAGACATTCGCTCTTGTTGCTAAGATGGCTATTATTCGCACAGTGATTACAATGGTTGGAATTCATCCATGGAGTTTTTTTTAGATGGATGTGAAAAATGTCTTTCTCCATAGAGATTTAATTAAAGAAGTCTTTATGGCTCATTCTCATAAACCTGGTGAGATGTGCAGATTGCGCAAGACAATATATGGTCTTTAACCAGAGCATGGTTTGCCAAATTTTTTTATGTCATATGTGACTTGAGTTTTCGTGCCAATGACTATGATTCTACTCTCTTTTTGCATTTCTTTGCCTGGGCTTCTATTATACTTTTATTATATGTTAATGATATGATCATTCCCGGTAATGACACTGTAGGCATTTTGTGGTTGAAGACCCAATTGTGGAATCCTTTTGAAATAAAAGATTTAGGTTGCTTTTGTATTTTTTGGGTATTGAAGTCGCATCTTTTCCTAAGGGTTATATCCTCTCTTAATCCAAATATGTCTCAAAGATTATACATCAAGCCTGCTTATCAGTCACACGAACAGTTGAGACGCCCTTAGAGAGCTTAATGTTCGTTATTCTTTCTCTGATGGCATTCCGTTATCAGATCCTACGCTATATTGCATTATTGTTGGTAGTTTGGTGTATCTCACTGTTACTCCACCAGACATTTCTTATGTAGTTCATATTGTTAGTCAGCTTGTTGCCTCACCTATAACTATTCATTGGACTATTGGTCTTTGCATTCTTCGTTATCTTCGAGGTACCCTGCACCAAAATATATTATTTTTCTTTTCTTTTTCGTTGGAATTTGGAGCTTATTTTGATGCTGGCTAGTATGGGTCCCAAGTCCACCAGTGGTTTCTGTCTCTTTTTTGGTGATTCACTTATTTTTTGGAAGAGCAAAGCAAACTATAGTTGCTCGTTCTTCTGCTAAGGCTGAGTATTGTGGTATACCTTCCACCACTGTTGAAATTGTCTGGTTGCTTGTTGATCTTGACATCTCGTTATCTGTTCCTACTCTTATGTATTGTGACAACACAAGTGCAATTTAGATTGCCTACAATTCAGTATTTCATAAGCATACAAAGTATATTGAGATTGACTATCATTTTGTTCATTTTGTGTGGTATCATCTTCAGTTGGCACTATTTCTCTCCCTTTCCTTCTTTCTATGCATTTGACCCACAATTATGCGCTTTTGTTTTCTTCTTGGCAAACTCCTGATGTTTTTTACTACCACGTCATGGGTTTGAGTAGGGATGTTAGAATATTATAATAGTAGGGGTAGTTTAGTCCTTTTATCTTTTATTTGTTTTGCCCTACTATAAATAGTTTCTATTATGCATCTTTTATCTTTAGTTGTAATAGACTACGAAGTTGTAATGATATTTTCTATCTTTTCATTCTCCTCTCTTTCATAATCAATGTTTTCAAGCTTTAACAGTGGCAGCCATGGGCTAAGCACAAAATTTGCATCCCAATCCCTTTCTCCTTTCCCCTTTTCCCTTGCACTCCGTCTTCCTCATCCTTTTTCTCGTCGGACTTGCACCATTTCAGAAGTTAGATAAAAAATCATTAGAAGTTTGACTGAAAAAATCGATTTTTTTTTCTTTCAAAAAGATAAATGAGTGGCGGTTAACTATTGGAGTGGTTATGCCACATGGTAGAGTGTGACTGGAGCAAACTTTTTTCTTTGTACTAGAATAAATTACAATTCTACAAATTAAGAAATAGCGAGGGAAGACTTCCCAAGTCTTGTTTCCAAAATTGATTCTTAAATTTATATGTTATATGAATATATTTATGTATAAATAGATATTTTGTTCATTCTCTGGTCCGAATGAAAATATTACATCGAGAAAATGTAGATAGGATGGGATGGCTTATCATCAAATTACCAATTCAGTACACTTGATGCATTTTTTTGGAATGCCAGTAAGTAGTATTAATCAATAAACTAAAATCTCTCCACTAATTACCAATTCAGTACACTTGATGGCTTATCATCAAATTACTTTTGTTATCATCTATTGCTGGAATTCCTTTGAATGGTCTTATAATATGCCTGTTTGTTAAATCTTAATCGGTAATTTGTGCAACTTTTATATTCGATGTGGGGGTTCTCTTTGCTAAAATGACGTTTTGCCCCATGATTGTAGGTGATAGTTATAATCGAGGAGAAAGAATAGACAGTTCTAAATTTCCGGCTGATCCAGGCTTGCCAGCAGAAGAATCCTCCTCTGAGATAGGAGCACCTATGAATAAAGGAGTGAATTCGACACCTGCATACCGCTGCAAGAAATGTCGGAGAGCTGTTGCATTGCAGGAGAATGTTGTGGATCATGTACCAGGGGAGGGGGAGACATCTTTTGAGTGGCATAAAAGGAGAGGTGGTGACCGTTTCAACAACTGTGATGAGATTGAGTGCTCATCTGTCTTTGTTGAGCCTCTACGTTGGATGGTCACAGGTACAAATTGGCCCACTTTGTGTTAACTAGAATTTCTGGTGTCTTGTGTATTCTTGAATGGGGCTGTAGACATTAGTGATATTGCGAGTCTGTGAACATCCCCAACCTTTGCCATCTATTTACTGGCAAATCAGTGGTATTGGAGTATTGGATTTTCATTTATTCTGTGCAACAGGGAAAATAATGTTTTATGCATGGTGTAGCTTGTGAATGATGGTGATGTATGGTTAGCTTAAGCATTGCTAACAAGCCATCATCCCTATTGCCCTATTTTGTAGCTTCTTGTGCCAATTTCTATTCTCATGGCCACCACATTTGCATAAATGAGTCTTAACTTTGTTCCACCTCCGAAAAAACTTTGATTTTTCAGTAGGGTAAATAATACTTAACAATTTGTAGGCATGAACAGGGATTTTTTTTTGTTTCTTATAGTCCTTGCATTTTTTCTCCCAGTTGAAGAAGGTGCTTTGGAAGGAAAGTTGTCATGTGCTCACTGTGAAGCCCGCTTGGGATACTTCAATTGGTCAGGCATCCAATGTAGTTGTGGGAGCTGGATTACCCCAGCCTTTCAGCTACATAAAAGCCGGGTTGATATCAGTACTGTGTAATATTCCTCCAGGTGAAAGCAGATTGGCCTATCAAGTAGGATCTTCTCTGTGTTTTCTGTGCCGCACGCCTACTTAGCATCAACCTTATACGGTGGTACGATATCGTGAATCCAGTACCAATAATACACTATACAATCTTAGAAGCAACCATTACAAAGATGAGTATTGAAGGATAAATATATATTGCTTTCTTCTTCCATGATGATTTTGATAACCTGCAGGAGGGAGCTGAAGCTGAAGTGCCATATCCTGTTCATGGTCCACAGTGGACCATGAACTTGTGTTTTAGATATCCTGAACTACTTGCTTGCATGCATTCTTCTGATGTTGCCTTTGTAGGTTCACTGTATGAGAAATTATTTTTCTTGTTTCTTGTGCGAGACTATGAATACAAGTAGGTGATATCATGAAGCTGAACACATTGTTGGAGGCATAGACCCTTGTATGTTTCATAATAAGATTTGACATTTATTAATGAAAATTACCAGATGCCTGAGGAGATTTTCCCAGTTGTCTCTCTATTTTTTTTACAGGACAATTGTGTCTCTATATATGCGACTCTGGGTTCTCACTTGGGATAGTTCTGTTTTGCCTCTTTCCCTAGTGTTTTTCTGGGCCTTGCCTTTTGTTCTTTTCGCTGTGTCAATGATCCTCATCGCAACTTTTTAATTCTTATTGTCTTGGATATTAGATAGCCTTTGGAATTGGTTGAGACTTTACAATTGCTTGTCTTGAGCACCTCTTGAAAAGTAACAGGTATATTTTTGTGGTGGTGCTGTTGCAGAGTTCAATAATATGAACCCACCTATTATTTTCTTGGTATGGGTGGACTTTGGATGTGCTTATTTTTGCTTAAACCTCTTCAAAGGCACGGTTTCTAGGTCACGACGATTTCTTCAAATGTACCTAGTGTCATTCTTGCGGCCATGAAAAATATTTGTAATATCTTACAAGGATTTTTATAGAGCTCCATAGGTGGCATTTCTATTTGTAAATGCCCCATCTGTATTGTAAAGAGTATGACCTAAACATGATATGAATAGGTACACAAACGAGTTTACACACCGACATGACACAACTAGGTATACATCCGTGATTACCATATACCCGGGTTAGACAGTCTTTTCATGTACCTACTTAAACATACAACAGAGGACCATATCAAGTTGTCATAGATCATATGGCATTGAAAGCTATTTATATTTGAAATAAGTACCTAAAAGCTGAAAGTGAAACTTGTAGAAGTAAAACTAAGAGGACTGAGTTTCTCGACCTTTTGGTTTAGGATTACTCAGTTTTATTTCTTGAAGGGGCTAGGCGAGGGATACCACTTAGCAGTAGAGTATCACCCTAACTTGGTGGAAGTCCAGGTCTTATGTTCTTCGTCAAAGCTAGGGACGGATTTTCTGATCCTTATTTTTGCTCTCTTTTCAGCTTTTTCTCATCTTTTTGTTGGCACCTTGTCGTTTGCTCATGCTTGAAACAATAATGTTCTTCCTCATAATAATTCATCCTTGATTGCAATAAAAATACAGTCGTGTATTGAGGGCAACTTCCCTAGTTCCTAGCCAACGAACACACACGTAGTAAGAGGGTAATCTAAACACAACAGAAACTCAATCAAATGATTAACAAGTGTTGTTGATGTTGTATTTGGAAGATCAACCGATTAACAAGTGTCAATTTTTCCTTCTTTCTTGGGGCAACAAATTAGTAAGTGTTATTGCTGTTGCACTTAGAAGTTCATGAGCCAAACAATGTTTAGAAAAAGGGAATTGGAGGTTGTTTAAGCAGCAGAACTCGTCATTAGGCACTCGATGCTTTTTGACCTCCGGTTATGCCCAGAGACATTCGTAGTCACTATTTAAACAACGAGGACGACATTATTGTTTTCTTAAGACCCTGTGCAACTGTACATTCTTGATCAAACATGGTTTCTTCAACTGGTTAAACTTAAGTCTTCTTTCTTGATTTTGGTGAATCGTTGAAGTCCATTCACTAAAATCTCAGGATGTGATTGCTGAAGACAATTTATGTGTTTAGTACGCACACAATGAGATACTCGACCAGTACAATCACTGAGAAAAAAGGCTGCATTTTCAAAGCAGGCGATAATTTACCAAAACATAAAAAGTACAGCAACCACTTGTGGTACAGGAGTAAATATTCAATGCAATAGTGACAATATATTATCATCAACACATGATATCACCAAGCAATTATAAGCTATTAAATAGGATTAGTAAACCCTATTAATCCACTCAAAAAAATATGCAATTGGCCTACACACGCTAATGACACAATTTACACACTACCATCCTTGGAGAGTAAATCCTCATTACCTGCTGTAGCTTATAAATCCAGTTGATTGAGCTGATAAATGAAAGTACAAGAATATTTTCTAGGAAACTAAGCAACCCCATACCTCCGTCTTTATTCAAGTCAACAGTACCCTAACCGGGTTTAAGGAATTATAAAAATTCAGAATCAAACGGAAAGGTTTGAATACCTATAGATATGACATTAGCCATCAAGTCCCAAGAATTTAGAAAGAAGTTAAATAACTAACCAACCAACCAGCCAAAACTAGGCACCATCTTTTTATGTATGCAAGATATCCAACTGTATGAGCAGCGGTGTAGTAGAAGCCCGATAATTTTACAGCCATGTCAGTATATTTATCAGTACCATATTTATCAAGACTGCAACTATACATATCTGGATCTTTCAAAAGAAGAACTGTTTAATATTGGTGAAGTCAATACTACAAGCTTCTATTTCAAGAGTTCAGTGTTAAGAAGTCCAATAAGTTACAATAACTGCGTACAAAAAAAGGAAATGGAAACCCTGAGGAAGAATACCATGAGAGCCTTGAAGGGTTTCCTGGTAGCATCGATCAATCTGGCCTTGGGGGGTCAAATTTGTTGGATGATCATCTGCAAGAACTGTTAGCACTCCTCTGATTTTGTTTCTGGGCTTCATTATCTGGAGGAAGAATTATTCACTGTAAGTGCGACTGTGACTCAAGAAGGGCATTTGTGGCTGCATTGACGTCATTTCTAGCATGGATAAGTGCTTGTCTGGAAGCATTCCTGTCAAAACCCATCGAAACAAGTGTTGCGATGGAATCTTCTGATGGCTCTACAGTGGCTGACAAGGGTGCAGGGTAGTTTCTCTGAATCAGGCAAGAAGAATAAACTCGTTTCAAAAGCACCATTAAACAAGATAAAGGAATCAGCATAGCAAAAGTTTGATCTGATAGCAACAGAAACAGTTTCAAAGGATATTAACAGCCGAATTTTCATAGGGGTGTCCTTATAACGTACACAGGATATGGAATTTGACTCAATAGTAATTACAGCCTGATTATATACGTGAATGGATAAGATACATCAACTTATTTTGAACTAGGTATTTGGCTCCCAGAAAAACTGGGTATTTATCATGATTGATGGTGAACATAGAGAAAAGACTACTGTCACCCATCCTGCACCTGAATTTGGCTTCCAATTTTGTTAGCAAAGCCTTGCAGAAAATGGCAAAAAAAAATAAAAAATTTGCTGAAATGACCTCATTCACTAGGAAAGTGACCACTCAGCTATGAGAAGGCAAGATAGTTCACAGACCCACAAAAATCTATTTTTGTAAAGAAAACCAGAAGATTATTTGTATAGTTTGAAAGTGTTCCAATTAGACCATTGGGGACATATAGTCTCCGAATCACTGCAAAGAACCTATAATAAAATAAAAGCCTTCACCAAGTGTTGATATCATCAGTCCATGCTTGGAAGCGTGCAAGGAATGTAGGCCTACATGCTTTTCTGGCAGAATGGTTTAGTTGGCTATGTTTTTACATGCTAACAGCATCTCTTTTAACTTGTACCAAATTATTATTGTGGCTAGGATCACAAATTAATACTAAAAACAACAGAATAAGTGGCAAAATATCATGAGACCATTTAAAGCAGGGATCATCCCGTGTGGTATGATTTTTAATCAATCTGATGACCTTCCAGAGTTCAAACCCATCATTTATCATAATATTGGAGGTACATGCGTCTAACTTATTTAGACAGATCCATACAATTAAACAATGACACCAGCAACTAACAAGCCAATCTAGAGCTAACTAATGTCAGGTCACATATCCGATTAGGTACTTTCCAGTGATTTTAGACTCCCCAAGTATATAACCTTCTAGGCGATGTATAATGTTGCAAACGGTAAGCAATTCACTTTTCTTCAAAAACATACATAGTGCCAGTATGGAGTCTACCGCACTGACAAATATAACCATTATTCAAACTGTTAGAACATCAACAACAATGTAGAAAAACCCATCATTACAACTCTCTTCCAAACTGAACACGAAGCAGCACAAGGACATAATGCTCACATCAGTTGAGGCAACTGCCAGCTACACTATCCTTAAGATTGAATTGACTTCTCAAATATGTGGAAGCATGGATGAATTTAATAACAACAGAACCCGATTTCGTTTTTTTGGTAGTTGAAACCCGGACAACAAAATTCACAAATTATTCGTAAATGAACCACGGAAGCAAAATAACTTACACAAGTCCAGGATGAGGGACTGGATGAAATCACACAGAAGGAGATGACATGAAAACAGGCACCTCTCATACGTGGCACGATCAGGAACACAGTGATGCAGATTCACGTATCAGTATGTGCCCAGGTTTGTGAATGTATTACTCATCCCTACCACTCCCAGGCCGATAGTCGGTAGACCATGTCTGCGAATGTGTTATGCATTGATGCATGGCCTCAATGACAAAGCACCAGCATCTTGCCCATATGACATGGTATTGTGCCCAAGTTTTGGCCGAAAGACCTATGTTTGAAATCTAGATGTCTCTTCTTCATGAAGCACATCATAGCATGTGTGTGGTGGAATTTCCATTGGAGCCCGTTCTCTCCCCCCACGGCCCCAACCCCCAAAGGAAACCCCCCCCCCCCCCCCGGAAAAAAGAAACCAAATAAAAAAAACAAAAAACAATACAAAAAAGAAATAAGAAACTTAAATACGAAAGAGAAACAAACACAAAAGAGGAAATTACACATGCACAGGGGGACACCAAATAAACTTCACATGTATAGTTATGTATATGCCAAAGCGATAAATATCAGCAAGTAAACTTGCCTCCATTTGGCGACCTGCATAGGATGGTACATTTCCCAAAACATTTCTACTAGGTGCTGCAGGTGTACTTCCCATGGATGGCAAAGAAAGCCGTGCGAAGAATGAGGCAATGAATTCTGGAAACTGAAAAATAAAGGGGGAAAAAAAGAAACAAACATGATAATGCATATTTAAAGAAGCATGAGACAAAGCTCTAAGAATTGCAACCTTTAGATATATTATTGGCAATATCAAAGTAAGATATAGAACTAATCTGGAGTGAGTGCAAATCCAACAACCAGGCAAACAAACATAAACAACAAATATAAAGTTTCAGAGATTAATTCTAAACAAAATTATTAATAAAAGACATCCTTTTGAATTTAGGTAGCTCCTGTTCATTAAACTACAACCATTGTTCTGAGGTTTCTAGCTCTCATGTGAGACTGCACTTGCATTTCTCCACAATATGCATCAAGACTTTATGTAAACCACCTTAGCATAACCGGACAAATGAAGACCAAAAAAATAATCATTATGTAATGTACAGACCAGAAAAACATTAACAATATCCTGTCTTTGCCAAGTTCAACAAATAAATTGGTTACTATTCAAAAAAAAAAACAAATAGATAAATAAATTTGTCATCAACAATCTCTGTAAACCATCCAAACTGTGGATGTTTATAAAGTGACTTATTTTATGGTATCAGAAACAGGCATTCAGGTCTGCAACTCATGAAATAGTTGTTGCTCAGTAGACATGTCTTCACACAGCATGGCATTGTGGCCAGAAATATCCTTCAATGGCCCAACTCACACTTTTCTGGTTTACATTCTAGTGATTAACCATACCCATATATCCGATTACAGAAATGAAGCCCACATCTGCAAGCTTTATAAATTGCACATTCACTAAGCATCAAAATTTGAAGTTATCAAGACAACATTGTCACCATACTCCCAGGATAATAAGGAAGAAACATTTAACACAGAAAAAAGAAAAAAACAGAAAAAATAAACGATATTTAACCTTCATCCTGCGGATGCAACAGACATTCAAACGATACAAGGAACCAGCTAGGATGCCACAGATCCCCGGTAAAATAGATCTTTTCCAGGAAGACAAAAGAAGCTGCAGGAAGAAACTCAACTTAAGATGAATGAAGAATAAAAGAGGGGAATGAGTTGATGCAAAATAATATTTCTGCATTATAAGAAGATAAAGTAACAGAAAAGAAGAAAATAAATTATGACAACAACAGATCTAATTATTACCTGAAGACCAGCTAAGTATATAAAAGACTTGTCCGAGAAGCGGATACGAAATACACGGAACCGGGTTGAAACTGGAATGTCAAAATAAAATGGTACAAAGGAAGCAAATATAAGACCGTAGGGGCCCGAAGAGAGTATGTTGATGGAGGGATCTGCAAAATCAAGATAAAAGAAAACGAGTATGTGTTTATATAGCAAAGGTATTAAAAACAGGAATTTCAAATGTTCCATCGTTGCTAAAGACAGCACAAAGCACCTCTGACAAAATATTATGCAAAGGAGTGGTAAATGCACCAGAAAGAAAAAAAAAACAGGCAGATTAAACAAACTACAGAAGCCATACTTGAAGTTCACATGGAATACAAATTCATGGAAAACACAACCCAATGGAAATGGATGCTTACAAAGTAAGAACTGCGAAGTTTAGCCTATATTGTTCCAACATTCGGTTTATCTACTCAATTCTTTATGCATGAGTAAGTCACCAAACGGAGTGAATGAAACAAAATGTGGAGTGCAACTTCTTTTCTGATGAGTTAATGAATGCAAGAAGGATGGGAAGTCTAGCAAACTTTAACATCATACTCAACCAAGGTTTAGTTTATGAAACTGCCACGACATTGTTGTCCGATATACAAGTCCCAATATATTAAACACAGTCCATAATCCATCAGAAGCTCTATGCACCTTCTGTTTTAGTCCTCTACTTTTTTTTTGATAATTATGCTACGTTGGTTCCAAAAACAACTTTTAACATCCGAAGCAGTAGAAAATTATGTAATACCCATTGACTACTGATTTTTAGAGTTCAAGTTGAATCTTGGTCAGCTTTAGGCTGTTTGTTGAGGTATCAAACTCAAGTCAGAATCACAACAATCGAAGCTTTACCCAGCCTCTTACCAAAGGCCAATAAATTCCATTTAAAAAGTGACTTTGATGCAATAATAAATAGCAAAGATCTGGATTTGATCAGTTGACTAGAGATTGGAAGATGAGAAGCTGAGAAGCAAAAATTGGGATAACCTCTCTGGTGGATTAGAGGCTTGCAAGGCTACCAATTGATGGAAAGGAGAGAATTGAAGAAGAAGAGAATGGAACTAATAAATCCTCGCAAAGATTAGGTCAAGGAGAAAAGAATAATCAATTCAATTTTACACTCCATAGAGAATAGTAGGGATTTTATCAACATCTAAAGGCCAAGTCTTCCACTAAACCTAATTAATCTCCCCAATGTAACTTTATCAATAAGATACTCAAATCACATGAGATTTCCTAATTAGATTGTTAGAGTATATTACTCAAACATTGCTTAGTTATAAATAAGGAGGAGTACGACAATAGAGCCTACACAGATTATTCTTCCTATCTTTCTTTTCCCTTTTTCTTCCACTCTCTCGTTCTTTCTCTACATCTTTCTAACCCTAATATTATTTTTCTATTTTAATTTGGTATCAGAGCAATAATCAAACTCGAATAACATCTAAAAACACTATTAGGAAATTTTGGGACGTTTTACAGTCACTAATGTCATCATGACATCAACAACCAGTGATCTCCGGAGTTGCTATCTAAGTCCACTTGGCATCGGGAGTATTTTGGTGATTTTTGCCAAATTTTTTGAAGCCATCTAAGTATTGTTTCCTATTTTTGAATATTTTCAGCAAAATAGGTCCTATTTTTTCAAATCCGTGATTTTGAACCCTTTACTCCTTATTGGATGCCTGCGTTCTGTTGCTTGGGTGCCGATTTGGCCTAGGGAAGAAGCTCATGAGTTGCCAGCCCCCTTTGGTGTTGTTTGACGTGTTTTTGGGTAACAGGAGTGCCGAAACAATCTCTGACCTCACCGACAATTCTGGTTTGTTTTCTTCTTTTTTGGCTATTGAGTCCTCTGTGGTTTTGTGCTACTGCTGGTTTCACTAGGTGATTGTTTGGTTGTGGTTTCACTAGGTGATTGTTTTTTGGTTGTGGTTTCACTGGTTTCAACAACGGCTGTGGTATTCTAGTATCTATTTGGAACAGTGGTTTCGTGGTATTCTGGTTTCACTGGAATCTCTTCGGATCTCTTATTCTCTTTTTTTGTCTAGTTGGTTATGGAGTTTACTATGGCTACTTCTACGGATCAAAAGGATACGTCAGTGCATGGCTCAGTTCAACATGTCTATTCTGGGGATGACCATGTTCAGCAGATTAATTTTATGAAGTTAAATAGAACCAACTATCATTTTTGGTCCCATGCTATTAGGGTATTTTTGTGAGCTAAAAAGAAAGTTCGATATTTGACTGAGAGTCCTCCTGCTGAGAAATCCACGAGTGAAGAAGACTGGTAGAGTGAAAATTCCTTAGTGATGACTTGGTTGTGGCTCAGTATGGAACCATTAGTAGCTTCTAATGTCAAACTTCTTGATACTGCTAAGAAGATTTGGGACTCTATTGAGGAGGTGTATTCACAAGAACACAATGTATCCCGGATCTGTGAATTGTTTGAGCAGATGTTTAATACCAAGCAAGGCAATAAATCCCTAGTTGAGCATTATGGCACTTTGAAAGGATTTTGGGAGGAACTTCTACTTTAAGTACGGATCTAGAGGTATAGCGACGATAGCGTGAAGAGTTTCAGGTTGCACTATTCTTATCTAGTCTTAATTATGAATATAAGGTGTTCAAAAATCAAATTTTAGCTTGTGAGAAACTTCATACTACTGCCAATGCTTATATTCGCCTTCAGCGAGCCTCTCTGACTTGTGGAACTTCGTCACCCTCACCAGATTTCTCTGCATTATTTTTTGGTGATGGGAGTTGTGCTGGTCGTGATAATGGTCATAGTGGTGGTCATGGTGGCAAGGTTACCGGCGAGGGAGGCTGTGGTGGTCGTGGTAATCGTTCTAAGTGAAAATGTTCTTATTGTGGTACTACTGGACATACTGAGGATTTTTGCTGGGATAAACATGGGAGACCAACATATGTTAATCAAGTTTTTGATGAGTCGACACCATCTGTGTCTCAGCCATTGACCAGTGGTCATGCTCCATCTACATTTGGCTCTCATGATGAACTTGCTTCTCAACTTAGGCAGCTCATCCAGCAATTACCTTTCCATATGCCTATTTCAACTGTCGGTTTAACCACTATAGGTAATTTTATAAATGTGACAGCTCAATCAACTTCACCATCTTGGATTATTGATTCGGGAGCTAATGCACACATGTCGGGTATTTCCTCTTTATTTTTTAATTTTCACTCCTCTAACTCTCGTATTGTGTTAATTGATGGTTCCTTTAGACTAGTGATCTCCATCCTACTGAATCTATGTCTTTACTATCTAGTTTATTTGTCTCTCAGTTTCCTTTTAATCTGTTACATGTGAGCCAATTAACCAAGTCTTTACAATGTTCATTGACCTTTTCTCCCTCCACTTCTATTTTTTAGGACCTTCGGACGAATAAGGTAATTGGTTCGGGGCATGAGCAAAATGGATTGTACTATTTGGATTCCAGAGATACAGTCCTTGTCTTGAGTGTTACTGTGTCTCCACTCCAGTGACATTTTTGATTGGGTCATCCTTCACTATAAAGCTTCGCCAAGTCATTCCAAGTTTGAGTCTTTCTATTATGTTAGAATGTGAAGCCGATCAATTAGGCAAGCATCACTGTAATTATTTTCCTGTTAGTAGTATGAATTGTCAATCTAGTGCTTTTGATATTGTTCATTATGATATTTGGGATCCTTCAAGAATATTTTTTTTATATAGAACCTCAACGATACGAGGGAATTTTATTGATTTTTAAAATGAATTACACCTACCTAGGGGGGATTTATGTACCTTACCCCTCGATGTAATGTAATTACAGGGAAATTTTTTTTTAAAAAGTAAGACAAATATGCATGCTGAGTACATAAGAATGAATAAGGAAAAGGCCTGAGCATAATATCTTAAAATCCTCGAAGGGACCAGCTGAGAAGAAGATCTAGCTAAGGAGCACTAAAAAGAGAATCCAGCTGAGAGAGCAACAGTTGAGAAGATCAATAGCTGTAAGGCAAAGATACTAAGGTAAGGTGGAAATCTTCCTGCGCGTGACTTTGATTCCACTTTGATCTTGTTGCAGCAAGAGTTTGATTGGGAGAAGTAGGTGAGCTTTAGATGAATATGCACAAGAAGCTTGATCTGCCACCCCTTGATTGGCCAAAGAATCTGCAACAGCGTTCCCCTCTCTATACGTATGTTGTATTTGATAATCCACAGAGTGAAGAGGGAAGATTTGATTTGCTAGAGTCCAAAAGTGCCAGAATGGAACAGACTTTTTGGTAATCATATCCATTAAGACTTGTGAATCAGTTTAAATTTCCAATGGATATATCTCCAATCCGAAATCATGAACAAGAAAGAGACCATCAAGTAGAGCTTTAATCTCAGCCTCTATATTTGTACATCTACCATAGGAGTAAGAGCCTGCAAGTATAAACTGTCCCCAATGATTGTGTAGGATCACTCCACCCCTAGACAAACCTGGGTTACCCTTAGAAGCGTCATCGATGTTTAATTTTCGCTTGCCTTCCACTGGATGTGCCCAGGAAATCCAATTCACCCTCATTCTAGCATGAAAGATTTTTGTTATATTAAGAGACTGGAGAAGTACCTTTCCTGAAACAGAGTCTATGGCTTTCGGCTTGACATTATATGCTTGAATCTGGCAAAATTTAAGAATGACTTTTGAATAGAACAGTGGAGTGGAGCTTATGATTCTCAAAGAGTCTTTTGCATCGTTCCTTCCATAACTGCAAGAATACTAGCAGTGAGATCCACCTATTAA